AAAACCCTAAGGAAGTTAGTATAAAAAGAGAGAGAGGTTAGCTGCAAGTGAAAGAACAAAGAGAAGAAAAACGCAGGTTTTTAAACGTCCGATCCCGCTTCATCCGTGGTCCGATCAAGCTGAAATTTGGAGGAGAGGTTCACGACCCAGTGACGCACAATCTGAACGGTGGAGATCAGATTTTGAGCTCGGAAATAGTGATTCGTGCCCATAAACAGTAACCGGATTTTGGTAGAAAAACGCAGGTTTTTCTATTCTGCCCAGATTTCATCAAACGTCCGATCCTACTTCGTCCGTGGTCCGATCAAGCTGAAATTTGGAGGAGAGGTTCACAACTCAATGATTAAAATCTGAACGGTGAAGATCTGATTTTGAGCTCAGGAACAGTGATTCGTGCCCGTGAACAGTAACCGGGTTTTGGTATTTTTCTCTCCAATTCTCTTTGTTTTTTGCCAAGATTGTTGCTATCTTGATGAGATGTTTTGTAGTCTCTAATTGCGATTAGGGAAGACTTTGTGTACCCATTATTTGGTTGATAGTGGAGATTTTAACTGGACTAGGTCCCGTGATTTTTCTTCCTCACACTGGGAAGTTTTCCACGTAAAAAATTGCTTGTATTCTTGTGGGTTGGTGTGATTGATTTGTTCTCTATTATTTTTCAGTACATATAAAAGTAGAGATATACTATATTTGCTTACATATAGGGAGAAGAATTATTCCGCTGTGTTTGTTTATTGTCATCTTTCCCAATAATAACACTGAGATGTATATAAATGTATAGATAATAAATGCAGATATGAATGTATGTATATTAGGGTTTCGGCGGAAGGAGAATCAAAAGTTAACTTTTGAAATTGAGGATGATGGTGAACAGAAAAACGCAATGCTTTCCACTACCAAGTGGGTAGTACCCAACTCTCTCTCTCTCCTTCGACCGGAAGAAACTCTTTTTCAATTTGAGTCCTGAATTTTGAAAATTTTCCTTTCAACTAAATACTTTATTTTGAGAAATTTATTTGTTTTTTATTATTATTTTTTATTAATGATACAAATTTTGATTTTTTTTTTTTTTTTTTTTTTTTTTTTTTTTTTTTTTTTTGAGTCTAAAATATAGCATATAACAAAAGAGTCCTTTCCAAAGTTGATAATAATTGAGTTTCTCTATTGTTTAGAGTATCTTCAATGGCATCTCTAAAATTTGGATCTCCAAATTTGATGTCATCATTTTTCAATACCTCTATCAATATTTTCAGGAGACATGTATTTTACTCTTTAAATTTTAAGTGTACTCCAATGTTATGTTTTTGCTTTCTAAAATTTGAAATATTTTAAAAATTTTCATAAATTATTTTTTATTTTTATTTTTTTTTCCTGACTGCTATAAGGGCTACATCATACAAAAAATTATTAAGCAATACAATATTTATTATGAATTAAAAATTTAAAACAATACAATACTATATATATATATATATAATTATTTAAATATATAATTTTAATCGGATCGAATCGGATCAACATAATCCATATCCGATTTGTTAAGCTAATGGATTATCGGATTCGGATCGTAATCGAGTTATCGGATTTTTTGTTCAATCCATATCCGACAATCGGATCGGATCCGGATCTGGATTTGCTCCATTGGCAAGTCTATATAGCACAATCATATACAATAATTTTTTTCTTATTTAAAAAGCACTTATCTTTTTCTTTTCCTTTTTTACTTTATTTTTTGCCCAAAAATACGTTTAAGTCATTATTTATGTCAGTCAAACAGTTGTCCAAAAAAACCCAAAAAACAGGCTTTTGGAATATTTTTTCCAACTAAACATGCTCTTAACCCAATTCTAGGCTAAGGGCTACAGTGATTTTGGGCTTAAAACAATTTTAAAAAATTTTGGAGGCTTGGGCTTACGCTTACCCAAGGCCGGCCCTGGCCCAAGGAGGTCACCTAGGGCCTCAAATTTTGCAGGCCCATGGATGATGGGCCAAAAAATAAAAAGGACAAATTCGTGCAGACGACACTCCTTGTGCTATCCTCGCCTCCATTCTCGTTCTTAAGCTTGGTGCAACACTGCAACACTGAACTCTCATTCTCTCACTTCAAGATTCAAAACCCATATAAGACCGACGATTGTAGTAGCAGCAGCAGCAGAAGACGGTATGTGTTATTTGTTTCTCTCTCTAAATGCTATTTCACTTCTGATTTTCTCTCTCGAGCTCCTGCAAAGCATCATTTGAACATTAAGCATGATTGATTATGATCATGATTGTGACAATAACAGCAAAATACATACTATTTCTTGTTTCATTTTACTTGTCCCTTAAAGAATCTAGGGTCGGCTCTGGTTCAGTTTACTTACAATAGTTCCCGAAAACTCATAAAACTATTTTTAGGAGATTAAAAAAGTGAACCTTTTTTTTAATTGAGTTTTCAACAACCGTCAACTAACTCAGAAATTAGTTTTCAAAGAAATAGTCAACTAAACACATAAAACAAAATTCCGTTTTATAAAAACTGAAACAAAAAAAAACCGTACCTTCTTATCCCCCTCTTGAAAATCCAGAGTAATATTATTATCTATTGGAAAATTTTCAATACTTACGAATATTTTTTAAATGATGCAATTTGTAACTTTGTGAACTTTAGGACAACGAAAAATTAAGGGGGACAAGTATTTTTAGAGGGGAGTACGTAAGATATATATACATAGAGACACACAAAGTTTGATTATTATTATTATTGTTACTATTATTATTATTATTATTATTTATCCAGCACAATGTTTGATCCTAGCAGCTTAATAAAAGCACGAATAAAGTGAGATTAGGATTCAGGATCCAAGACTAATATTAATGACATGAGCCCACTTTAGGAGGAGCTACTGAGCCATATGTATATGATCATGAATGCCTTGTATTCTGAGGTGGTTTGACCTTTGATGTCTTTTTTGATATTCTCTTATTTTTTTTTTTCAACATATTTTAATATATTATATGTGCTTTATACTTTATGTCTTTATGTTTAGCAAATTAACAGTTAGTATTTGATTTTTGATTTAATATATATCTTTTCTTTTTCCTTTTTTTTTTTTTTTTTTTTTTGGCCGGGCAAACACGAGAAACTGCATATTATTACTTATAACCAAAAGGACAAGCAGGTAGAGCAAAAAATAAACACTCCATATTACAAGAAACCCATAACTGAACGCATGATGACCTAATAAAATACTGAAAAGCCCACAGGAGCATGAACATGGATTGGACTTCAGGCCAGCCAAACAAACCCATGTAAGAGGAGGCCCACCCACAAGAACCAGAAGCTTCGCTCGGACCCACCTCTGCACACCCAACGTGAACCAAACGCCAATAGAACGATGTCAGCACAATGCAATAATCGTGTTTGGCAATGCATTTTTTATTCAAATTAGCAGTTAGTAATTTAAATCAAATTCTTTCTTGTTTGGCAATACATAATTAAGATCTCTTCAGGTTATTTCCCTTGAACCTGAATCAAATCATTGCATATTGAGGTATTTATATTTTCTTTTAGCAAAACAATTTTTTTATTTTTATTTTTATTTTTTTAAAGTTTAGTTTTATATTGATTGTGGTTGTTATTTAGATTTCATTATACTTACAAGAAAAATTGAATTTGGGCATAAATTTTTTTTTTAAAAAAATAAAAAATAAATAAAAAGAGAAAAAGAATTGATTGAGTCTCAAAAAGAAGCTATTTATAAGTTTATTTAGGAGCAATACACAAAACAAATAGTTTAGTTGAAGATTTGGTGAATAAAGAACATACGAATGAGAATTCAAATGAAAAAAATCTAAATGAACATGGAGATTTAATGAATAAAGATCATAAAAATGAGAATCAAAATGAAGAAAATGTGAATGAACATAAAGATTTGGTAAATGAAGAACATATGAATGAGAATGATAATGTTCCTTTGAACATTAATGATTCAGGAAATTGGAAAAAGATTTATAAAAAATTGAGAGATATAATAGTTAAAAGAGGCCTTACAAGATATGCTAAACTTGAAGATTTTCTCAAGGATTCAAAAAAATAGACATTTATGTTCTATATATTACATTCGACGCTTGTCAAACGGTAAAAAATATGATAGGAGATGACTAATCTATTCAAGTTCTTTCGATAAGTCTTTTGCTTTTATTGTAAGTTGTTTAAATATGGCGAAAAATTCATTTGGCAAATAAAGGAGTCAAAGACTATAAAAATCTTAGTGACAAGCTTAAAAGTCATGAGACTAGCCATGAACACATTGTTAACACGAGTAGTTGGATTAATTGGAAATTAGATTATGAAAAAATGCAACATTCGATAAAAGTGTGGAAGAACAAATCAACAAAGACAGATAATATTGGAGGCAAGTATTACTAAGAATAATAAATGTTGTGAAAACTCTTACTAAAAATAGTTTTGCATTCCGTGGGGACAATGAGAAACTTTATGAAGAAAATAATCGAAACTTTTTAAACATAATGAAAGAGCACATTCGTCGAATTCAAGATAAAGAAATTCATTATCATTATCACAAAATTCAAAATGAATTTATTCTTCGGATATTAGATGAAATCAAATGTGTAATCATTAAAAGGGTTTTAGAAGCAAAATAATTATCAGTTATTCTTGATTGTACTCCGGATGCAAGTCATTAAGAGAAAATGTTACTTATATTAAGATGTGTAAATGTTTTAGCAAGTCCAATAAATGTAGAAGAGTTATTTTTAGGATTTTTAAAGGTGGATGATACATCACGGTAAGGGTTTTTTGATGAACTTGTAGATGCTTAATTTGAAAGATCTTGAACTTGATATCGGTGATGTTAGAGAACAAGGGTATAAATTTTCTATGGCCAGAACAACCATCTGTCCCTTTAAACGCAAGAATTATCAAGAACTAATAAGAAAAAATTTGGAAGGAAGGAAAATTAATTTTTTTGGAAAGTTTTTTTTTTAGACACATATATCTAATTATCTTCCCGACAAAATACCTCTCCAAAATTGTTCCGAACAAAGTAGAAGCAAGAAGTGACACACACCTCAATTAGATGAATCCATGCCCGCCTCCAGTAGGGATTGATGTAAAAAACAACAACAATCCCTAAGAAAATAGTGATGTAGGACACTGTGAAGCGCACATAGAAAGATTCCATGTCCATGAAGCCATAATCCACTTCACTGCTATTCATGATGACTCCCGGTGGTTTAATGGCGGTGCAAGTTCTTGAAACTGGTGGTCCACAAAGAAGTGGATTTCCGATGTAGCTACTGTTATCAGGAGAATTTGTACTCCGTGGTATGCTGCCCGATAGGTTATTGTATGACACATTGAACAAAGCTAGAAAGTGTAGGTCAGTAAGCTGTGAAGGGATTTTCCCACTCAGGTTGTTGAAGGAGAGGTCTAAGCTCTCTATGCTATCCAGGTCTGAAAACGATGTTGGGATGGTTCCACATAGGCCATTGTGAGACAAGTTAAGCGATTGGATTGGGCCTAGGTTCCCAAGTTTATGTGGTATGTGGCCAGTCAATTTGTTGCAGGAAAGATCAATTGCTGCAAAAGAGTTGAAGATTGATTCCCTCGTAAAAACGGATCGTTCCTTTTATTGTGAACCTTATGTGTGTATTTGGACTACGAAATTTAGTTGAATCTTCCAATCGGTTTTGACTGATTTTTGATATCATTTTCGGATCACCCGAGAGTAACATTGTGAACTGTAAATGTGGAATTACTCTGGGATTAAACCACGGTATAGCTTTCCGAGGTGATCCAAGAAAACTGATGTCACTCAAACAAGGAGGAATACGACCAGAAAAGTTATTATCAGAAAGATCAATCAAACTCAAATTAGACAAGCGGCATAAATTGATAGGGAATAATACTTTATTTTTTATAAACTACAGCTTTTAATGAAATCTATGCTCATCGTCAATATGATATATGTCCCAATTGTTTACCTTAGAAGGCAAAGCAAATGAGTTTTACAAAGAGAGAAGAATATACAGAAAACTGGGTCCAGTGAAAGTTAGGTCCAAAACAAAAGATCCATCCTGGAAGAACCCGGCTATAACAAAACCCAAGCACAAGGCCCAACTCCAAAACCATAACTACGTCATCTAATTAAACCTCCAGATGCATAGGATATCTATTCTTCTTAGATAGACTTCCGTCATTGCACTCGATTTATTCATTTGAGTGCAGAAAGTTTTGGGAAAAAAAAAGGCTGAATTAAGTTCTGTTCTCAGCAAAAAAGACAACCTTATGCCAAGCTAGAAAGCAACGAAACTTCACCTAAGAATGTCACGGTGGCGTTGGACACTCGAACACATTTATGGACACGGCTAGAAGTATCCTGAAATTTAAATATTTTATTTTTTTTCTTGGACACGATTGAAAAACGACATCGACACGGCAATAACATGTTTTTAACACTTTCAAGACACGGCGGAGTGATTGTGTAATTGATCTTTTTTTTAAACAAAAAAACGAACGGGATTTAATACAAATTAAAATATATTATGAGTTAATTAGAAAAATAATATAAAATTTATGAAATAATAAATATCTAATTTTAAACTCCAAATTAGTGACTTTTATTCATGTATGGATAAAATGACTAAAAATAAAGTTTTTATTATATATAAGCATGGACCCATGCTTCATAAATGCCAAGTAATAATAATGGATAACTTAACCAAAGGATTAGTGACCCAGTGGTACTGGATCCTTACTTTTCAAACGGAAATCAAGAGTTCAAGCGTCCATGAAAGTAAGAATGCGTGAATACCAACTGAAAAAAAAAAGAGTAACTTATGCCTGATCGTCACCGGAATTTTTATAAAAATTATTATTTTTATCTTTTGAAACCCTCATTTGTTGATAGTTTTTTAACAGTAAAAAAAATATTGAATGCGACAAGGTCCGGTTCACACATGCACTTTCTACCATTGCTACATCTAATGGCTGTTGGATTAGTTAAAATATAATAACAATAATAATACTCTTTCATAAATTTACAACTTCTCTCTAGAACCCAGCAAAAAAGAGTACAAATGATGAAGAGTTTAACCGCGCCAATAGGCCCACTTCATTCAAATGATCTTCTATTTCTTAAAGTCATAAACACCATCAAACGCATAAAGACCTGACCCCCCAAAAATCACAAACTTGGGCCACCACCATACAATCACTCCAAGCCTCAAGTAAGCCTTTGGAAGACTTGCGCATAACTCACTTAACCCCAAACAAGCCCAAAAACAAAACCCAACAATCACGAGCCATTGGACAATGCAAAAGAATTTGATCAACTTTTTGCTTGCACATGCAACAACAACAATTGACTGCCACCTGTCTCCTCCGTTTTAAGTTATCTTGGGTAATATCTTCCCTAGCAAAAAAGTCCAAATAAAGAAAGCCACTTGAGAGGAGCCTTAAAGCGGCAAATAATCCGCTGGAGCATTCATAGGACACCTATAAAAAGACCGAACCTCGAAACAACGGGAAGAAGGAACCCACACCCCAAGAATCAGAACCTTCCCCAGCAACAATCACAAAAAAGTTGGCTTGCACATTGAAAAAATAGGTACGAGAGATTGACCAACTCATGCACCCTTCCCCCTCTCCCTTTTCCTCCTCTCCTTTCGTCCTCATTAATATCCTTTCTGCCACTCATTCCTTTCTTTACCAGAAAAACAACCCAGCCACCATGATCATCCCCCATTCCTCTCACCCATGTAATATCTTGGGTAATATCTTCCCTAGCAAAAAGGTCCAAATAAAGAAAGCCACCTTGAGAGGAGCCTTAAAGCGCCAAATAATCTGCTGGAGCATCCGTAAGACACCTATAAAAAGATCGAACCTCAAAACAACTAGAAGAAGGAACCCACACCCCAAGAATCAGAACCTTCCCCAGCAACAATCACAAAAATGTTGGCTTGCACATTGAAAAATAGGTACGAGAGATTGACCAACTCATGCACCCTTCCCTCTCTCCCTTTTCCTCCTCTCCTCTCGTCCTCATTAATATCCTTTCTGCCACTCATTCCTTTCTTTACCAGAAAAACAACCCAGCCACCATGATCATCCCCCATTCCTCTCACCCATGTCACCCAACCTTACAAGAAGCAAAGGAAGTACCAATCACACCACAGAAAAACTTCAAACTTTTCTTAAAAATACAAACAAATATCCACAACCAAAGATGCTGCTCAGTACGTATAACGTAAAAGAACTATCATCTTCATCTAGAAGAGTACATATTGCCAATAAATGGCAGCAAAAAATTATAGACTTCGAGTTAAGTTGGAAGAATAAAAGAATGTTACTAAACATGACGATTTCCCCAAGTCAAATGGCTAATGGACTTGGCAAGGCTAGCCAATCTCAAGATCAATTACAAAATATCATTTCCAGCCATAAACCCCAGCTAGCCTCTCTCCATAGTAGCTCAACCCTTCCTCCACCCATTAACAGTAACCCTACAAATTCAAATTTGAATTGACCAGTCATATCAGACAACAAACACAACTTTTCCAACTTTAGAGATATCCTTACTGCGGCAACAGCCAAAAGTAGAGCTTTGAAAATAACCTAAATCAATCATATCCACCTCACCAATCGAAGCCACCTCACTTCCCATCACTTACAACCACCAACTAGCATTGCCTCTAACCCATGAAACTGAACAAGCACCAAGGGAGTGGTCAGAAATAGCCAGTAGCAGCTCTCAAAAATGGACCTTTAAGAATTCAAACTAGTTGCTCAAGAACTCCCTTGTTAACTTGGAAGGGATATAATTGAAAAAGGAATACAGTACTAGCAAATTTATCTAGTGAGTTATTTTGTCATCAAAAAGTTAAAAGGATGCCAACCCAACACTGCATTGGTTTAGGTCAAGTTCCATAACATTCTACTCTGATTTTGGACTGTAATAGGATTAAGTTACTTAGAAAGTGCAGTTCAAAAACCACTGAATGTTGTGCAAGTTACAAAAAACATATAAAAGATTAAGTTTGCTAGAACAAGTGTGGAACTTGATATGAAACAAAAATTGGCGTACAACATCAAAGTCAAAACAATGGAAGCAAGTTTAAGCATTAGAGTAAAATATCAAAGACTTACCAAATTTTGCTCCACTTGCAAGTGCATAAGTCACTCAAATGCCTCATGCCCTGTCCAAGGTTAGGATAAGAAGGGGAAATGCCTCATGTAACCAACCCCAACAACAAACACCTAGTCCAAATAATGAACAATAATAATAAGAAAAAAAATCTAACAAGCACAACCATTCCTTAGAACATTCACCAAACAACCCAAACTCCAATCATTGCCCATTAAGCTATTACTCCCCATACCACCACCATCAACCGAGTAATTTCACCTCCAAATCAAATTAACCATCACTCTTTGTTGCAAATCTCCTTAACAATTGATCATCCTATAACAACAATCTCACCGCAAGAACATAACCAAATTACCCCCTCAATCAGAGCTTCCATTAACCTTGAAAACCAACAACTTTTGGTTGACCTCTCCCCTTTCCACATTAAAAAATCCAAACAAACTAAGCCAAACCTAGCCACTTCTTTCACAACCCACAAGATCCAACCCAAGTCCCTAAGAGCCCCACAAAGTTTACCTATGTTACAGTCCATAATATGTTCCAAGTCCTTTAATTTGATATCGATAATGAACAATTGGGGGAAGAGAGAACTAATGAAGCTGACCTCGTAGAAAAGGATCCACAAAAAAGAAAGAATTGGAAGGAAATTTCCAAAGTATAAGTAAAACTCTTCTCCTACGATGTAATTAGCTACATAGAACATTAGAAGCCTTAATGGCCTCTCCAAACAATCATAAATGAGAAATTAAGAGCTGAAAATTGACTAGACATTTTAGCAATCCTTGAAACTAACTCTTGGGATATAGGTACGATGGAATCCAAATAAAATTAGGTTGATTGTGATTGTTATTTATGAAGGGAAGAAAATTATCCATTACCTTGTATCAATACTATCTAAAAATATTAACTTCATTGCATCCTTCGTCTATGGCTGTAACTTAGCCTTTGAAAGGAAATCCTTTGGACATATATTTTATAGGACTCAAACCTATTTTCCACAAGTCCTTCGAAATTACTTGGAGATTTTAGTGTCATAGTTGAATACCACTACCAAGTACTCTTTTATAAAAGGAGGGGATGGTCAACTCAAAAGGTACGACAAAAATTACATAAGAAAGTCTTCCTTTTAATACAACGACCGAGTGTAAACTTAATCGTCAGAGCGTACTCTACCGGCATCACACCAGTGCTCATTTCATTTACCAACTCTTTTTTCTTGTAGGGAAACCTTTTATTCCTGGTCGCATTAGAACATTGCATCAACAGAACTCTACATTTCAATTTTCTTGCACAAGGAGTCTCATACCACAACCCTATCCTAGTGAAATTGGGGACTCTGAAACCAAAATTTTTAATTTCAATCAGTTTTATTGTTTCCAATTTGTGTTTTTGTTTTCATCTGAAACAGGAACACAACATTTTTGTTGTGAAGTGGGTTCATGGTGATTAATTTGCAACATTTTTGGAAGCAAAAACATGAAAATAAGTTTGGTAAAAAAGAGTTGCAAGTTTGAAAAATTAACTGGCTAGTTAAAAAGGTCATTTAGAAATTTTTCTTTATTCTTTTTTTAAGTCCTGTCATCACTAGTTCACTACAGTGTTGTTGCTAGCGGACATTAGGAAACACCAATTTTGTGTGTCTAGTTTTGACCTCTTTTTTGGAAACAAACACGATACTATTCCAATCACAACAAAAGTAACCAAACGTGTTTTCATGTTTTGCTTACACCATCTGTAACAAAAACACACGAAATAAAACCAATTGCTAAATAGGCCCTAAGCTATTCAGAAGCTTAAACTCCTGGGGTAGCCTCTTATAGATGCATGTAAGGTGGAAATCTTAGTGCTTTCCTACAAAGTCCAAGCAACTAAGCTAGATCTAAATCAAAGGAAGCAATAAAAACCTTATTCGGTCATACACAAGGCAACAAAAGATTACCTTTTGAAAAAGAAAGAATAAAAAGGCTAGGAGAAGATGAAATACTTGTGCTCAAATAGTAGTCAAGGATAAACTGGCTCCAAGCAGGGAATTCAAACTCTTCCTTCTTCAAATCATTCTGTTGCAGAGTGAACCCAAAAAAAAAATTCAAGCATGAAGTTAGCCACTAAAGGACAAATAGAAGGTGACCAAAATGTGAAAAAATGAGGTTCTATCACACTTCATAACCTATTGGGAAACCTCCATTAAATGTATTAAGCCCTCTCAATACCGAATCAATCCCTCCCCAGTTTCTCCTCTCCCTTTTTTCCATACTCAAATATGAAAAAATTCAAGCTTGCATGTTTTCACTAAGCAATGCCAAGTCCCTAGGTCCTGATGAGTTCAGTGCCTATTAGAAATTCTCTAAGGCTGTGTTTGGTTGCATGAAATTAAAGCCTTGTGTTTGGCTCACGAAAATTGTGGTCCTTTCCAAGTGAATGGAAAGGGTTGCGGGCGTGCCAGGAACTACTGTCGTTCCGAAGGGGAGCTCGAAACAATATTCCAATGGAAAGTTATCGGGATCATGGCAATTGAAAGGAAGCTTGGAATGACCATTTCCAGCAGTTTTTTTTTGCCTTGAAAAAGGACTTCAGGATTGTTTTAGTGCTAGTTGAAAGAAAGACAGAATTGAAAGTGTAGGACTTGCAATTAAAAGTGCTTTAAACACTTGCTGGAAAGTAGGAAAAGAAAGTACTGGACTTGAATTAAACATAACTGAAATACATTACTGGAATGTAAAGAAACATGAAATGAAATTGATAAGCAAAGATGTTGTATTGTTGTTTGTGTTGAACAGGAGTGCTCTAGTTATAGAGCCTTCTTACAGCAGTTGGAAATGTGGCAGTTTCAGTAACTTTCACTTGGCTTGTCCTTGGGCTGCCAAGTGTCCCATGTTCTTGGCAGTTATCTTTTATTTTGCACCCACCTTCTTCCACCTTCTTGCTCCTCTTGAGTTCTTCTGAGCATAACTTCAATAATGTCCCTTGAAAATCTCCACGATTCTGAGTAGTGGGCAGTTTTGGTTCTAGTTAAGGTTGAACATTCCACCTGGCCTCTCCATAAGAAACCATGTGTCCCATATTTTGCTTATTCTTCCTCTACGTGCATGGACTCTTCTTCCTTCATTTCAGACACATGATTCCATAGTTTCAGCCATGTTATTCATTATCTCAACCACTTCTTTCAGTTCATAGCAGTAGTGGCATGAAAAGCTACCAACCTCCATCTAATGTGTTAGTATTCGGCCAAGTGTCCCATGTTTCTGATGATTCATTCTTTGCACAAAGTCCTCCTCCCCATATAATTTTGGGTTATATATGTATTATACATATATATATCCTTGTTCACGCATGTCTTCCTTTATTTTAGTAACACGATTTCATGACATCACATACTCCATGATTGAACAACTTCCTTCCTGTATAAATTTGGTGTGTATATATATATATATATATAATTATATACTCCCATTTTTCCCGGATGATCATCCACATTCTATCTTTAAAAGTTGTTTTGATTTGGCATGAAACTGTACATAATAGTTGAATACCTGTTGGAACTTCCCTACAAAGTAGGAAACATTATAGCACCACGTTCCCACATTTCTTTCTTTACTCAGTCAACTTCACCTTGCAAAATCTTAGGGGTTGCCATAAGTTGGAAGTTTCCATTTGCCTAAGGATTTTGATAACACATAGTGTTATCCCAATGGTTTCCTTCTGATGAGAGCTGAAAAGTACACATTTAAACCCCTTAAGCTTGAGTATTCTAGGACCTTTATCTATCTTATTTATCCGTTTTAGTACTTATTTGTGTTTTTATTTATTTCAGGTTAATAATGTTAAAATGGGCTAAAAATGAGTTCTTAAGGTCTTTTTGGAGTCAAACTAAGTCTTAGCGATGATCCGGAGCAAAAAGAGGCTGATTTGGAGCAAAAAGAGGCTGATATTGAAAAGCTAAAAAGTTGGATGGATCGTAGAAAAAGTTGG